TTGAGCAGGGAGAATGGGTATTGCATTTTCAGAGTATAAAATTCAAAACACTCATCCATGGGAGTTCACTTCCTGAATAATAATAATGAATTTTGGTTGTTTTTGAACTTTTCATTACATAGCACTGGACTTGGCTCACCAAAGTCGTGGACAATTGAGCTGACCAGAGTATTCGTTGTTTTCAAAACAAGTTGGGATTAGTAAAATATACCGCCAGCAAACGCTTATGTCGATGTAACAATTACAGAGTAGAACTGCGCAGCGTCATGTGAGGACACAGTTGAAAGCTTTTTAAAAATCACGCAAACAGAAAAAGGTGAATATTTTATACCTTTTTGAGATGGAAGCTCCAATGTATTTCATGAAATATCTAGATAAAATGAATCATTAACTGTCTCAGACTGAACCAAATAGCCGGATCTAAATCAAGATGTTTTAAAAGGTTTGCAACAATCCAACATTCTGCCGCAAGCTGAAGGACTGTTGTTGAGGTTTAGCATCATCTTGAACCCTCTTCATGTAGTATCGGGATAATTTAAGTTTCCTCTTGGGTGTAAAATAATGTACCAAATATATACATGTGTATATAGCGTGTTCAAATGATAACTCGGCTTCTTACTGAACAGATTCACAGAGTCACAGGACAATGTACACTGGTGTCACCTTTGAGCCTGTGTATTTCAGTTGATAATTGACGGAGCTATTTCTCCCTACAAAATTTGCCGAGTACATTTCCTTTAAGTATCCACAGTACCCTTAAACAGTAAAATTCGTTACCATTCGTGAATTTTGCGGTACTGCTCTACTTCCACACTTTAACTGTCCGCAGCTATTTCCGCGCCTCAACGGATCTCCAAGCAATGATCTTCTGACTAAAGCCTTCTAATGCACTGTATTATAAAGGGTCTTTTTCACAATGCAGTCGGTTCGTCGCGCCTGTACACACGCCACAGTACAACGACGCTAATTCAATAATTTAATCAGAATTAGGATGGGATGCGTCATTGAATAACGAACCGGGTAGCAATCCAAGACCCTTTTTCCACAACAGTACATGAGGTCATCGGACCGCGAAAAGAAGTAGCCGCAAACCATTAAAGGACGTTACTTCTAATGCCTGTTCAAATTACTTTCAGTTGTCTTTCCTTCTTGTGTCTAGATACTGCCGCAGTAATTTTCAGTGTTGGTAACATATGCAAATCAATATTGGACCAGAAACAACAAAACTTGAAAAAGACGCCTCAGAAAACTTCGAATCTGTAAACAAAAGTGTGGGGTGTGTGGATGAGATCAGGTGAACATGAAGGATCATGCAAATTCGAAGACTAGTTCAAGGTGTGTGAGAAGAGCACAAAGAGAGAAACTAGCACCACAGAGTGACTGAGACACTGCTTGATATTTGGATATGATTCTATCGCGAAAATAAACAGACCCTAATAGACCGATAATGTTGGGGTTGGTAATGTGTTGAAATAATGGTAGCTCCCACTGATGTCTCCTCGTATGTTGACCAAACGTCTGCAAACCACTCGCCAAGCTCGGCGAACAGATCGACAGTCACCTGATCAACAACCAGTGATGTTAGAGTTTTTGGTCAGTTTCAGTAGAACTTGACGCTAGCTTAATCCCGCCAGCTTAGTTTCAGATTTGTGGTACATTGTGGCACACTTCAGTCGTTGGCCATCGAACTGTGCACACCGACTGGGAACAGATCGATAAATGAGGAAATTAAGCTTCGAAGTGTTAGGATGACTTAAGATACTGCAGAAGAACCGAAGAACCATGTTCATCATCACTCACAATTTGTATCTTGTGTGCGGAATTGTCCAAATTTGCAAGCAGAAAAGATAGTGCTCAGTTGAAATAGTATTTCGTTTGTGCATAATTTTGCCCAGTTGGCTTTTAACAAAGTTGTTTTAGATCTTTTGGCCCACATTTGTGATCAGTACCGCTTAAAAATCTCTTCTGATGCCTTGTTCCACTCCAGTAGATCTAGTCAGTTTCACTCTTGGAAGTAGTGAGACAAAGCCTCGGTATTTCTGTGAATAAACCTATAGAAGAGGATAAGGTCTGAAGGTACAGCCTGCAGTTGTGTACTGATCGACATCAGTGTGTTACGGAATGATTTCCACGCTATTCACCTCTTCAAGTAAACTGAGAAAGATGACTGTCGTGCTTCCGTATGGCTAAGCAAGTATTCCCAAAATAAGTTATTTTTAGTGTGGGGTTCAAATTAATTTTCACCAGTGTAGCACTCCCCAAACATTGGTGTAACACAAATACTCGCCACAAACTTCACTTGAAGCATTCCACAAGACAGTGAAACATCTTCCAAGATCACTTATAAATTTCACAAAAACTCAAACCTCAATATGTTTACTTTAGCGCTAAATTACAATATAAGATTGCCGGAAACTCGGAGACTTGAGCTTAATGGTGAACTATAGAGAGGGTAAAGCCTACGCTTTAAACAGTGTCATATCAAGAGAGGTTATACGTACTGACTACAGAATAAACAATAAATCTTGAAAACCTTGGTTTTTGTAATACCGTTCATTTTCGAGTCCAGTTTATGGTAAAATTTGTTGTTGTCTAAGAAAACTTCAGCCCATTGGACTCTGAGAATACTGCCTCAAAATCAAGTATTATGCATCTGCATCTGGGTTTTTTTAAAGATTTTCAAAATTTGTCGGACACATCCTCCTAGAAAGCTGGTTTGGACGCCAATCTTCAACTACCGTCTCACAAACTACGCCAAAGAGACTGATAAAAGGCAAAATAGACCTAATAGCAAGCCGGAATTCTAGCTTTATCTTGAGTTTTTTGGCAAATGCTTTGTTTAAATTGAAAATTCAAAGTACCAGACACGCACTTTGGCTCTCCTAGTCCCCATATTTTCCAAAAACTGAATTAAAAAGAGGCATTCTCTGTGGCCACTTGGATTAGCGAAGAGTTTCACTTGGTTTGTATTCAACCCGGTTGACTGATCAGTTCTCCATGGCAATCGCCGTAACTGTTTAAAACCGACCAACCACGGAACCTCTCGTGTAGCCTAGGTGACAGATAATCGGCATGTATTGAGGTATTAGTCAGTGCACTTGTGGATGCGCTGTTCACCGGAGGAACTTATTTAGTAGAGTTACAATTAACCATAGAATTTAGGCAACAAACAGACTATTAACCAATCCGAAGGACCTTTACACAACCTTATCGCAATCCTTACAGGATTCCTTTGTCTTTTGGAAGCAAAAAACATGGTAAACCATTGCCCCCATCATAAACCAGTTTTTTCAGTTTTTTTTGCCGCATTTTTACTTATCAACTGGTTGATTTCTTGTATTCAAGCTTAAGAAAATGCTCATGTCTATTGAAGACAACCAAATGGCCTGAAACTAAATTTAAACTTAACGCCTGAAGCACCGGTCGGGTTGTGTAGGTAAATGGCGAACTAAACCCGGTAAATTAGTTCGGACGTAGTTTGGAGTTTCAAAACGAATCTTTGGTAATCAGCTGACACTGATGAGCGTATTTAGCGCATTTCAAATTGAAAGCCAAAGGAAATGGTATGTGGCACGTGATCAAATCATTCTCGCACTTTGTGTAGTCCACCGCTTCTGTGTGCGCACTGAGGCTTCCAAAGTAAAACAGTGAAGCGTTTTGCAGAATTTCGGGTCCATTAATTTGCTTTTAATTAATTTACCATTATTTTTGCATAAGCAGTTTTGCTGGAATCAACATGGGAAAAAAGTGTAGTTGCTTTGTGAACTGAGTTGAAAAAGCGATAGTCTTGGGGTCACGAGAACCGGTGAATTTCGCCACCAGTTATTTAATCCATTTCAGTGGGTTTAGCCGTTCTCTTTGTTATTACATGCGATTTCTATTTGTACACGCGTATAAAGATGCTTAAATCAACATGTCTGCATTCAGTCTCGACTGAGCTAATCAGATTCATCAGACAGGTTGTTTAGCCTAATTTAACCACAGGTGGGATTAAAACTTTGCAGACCGAACTGTTTGCAATGTTTGCAGCCAGCGTAACGAACCATAAATGAGTTCAGTCGTACATGAACAAGTCTGCTAACTCCAAATGGAAAACATAACAGATCAATCTTTCACTTGTCTACCTTTCACGTGTCTACCTTAGAAACGCCAACTTTGGAATTTATCAGTCAATGCGAGTAATGCACAGTTGCCTTACAGTTACTTGGGGTCAACAATGCCAGAATTCCTAAGCATCCCCATGGGGCTTCTAAAAAAAGCTCTCTGATAAGAGGTGAATCTATATCACCCAGATTCTTGTACCTTCGGTATAAGACCCTCACCGCTGACGATTATCAAATGGGATGGAACAGCTGTATAGCGCTCCTTGGATAATCAGCACACGTCAGTTGGCAGGATGTAACTCAATAGTGCAAACTTAAAAATACCGTTAATACCTGTACGGATTACCAGTATAAAGTAGCCTACAGAAGCCTGAGAACAGTAACTCTTTTCCTAGACAAAGGGCTAAAGTGAATGAAATGAGTGGAAACAAATCAAGTTAATCTCAGTATCTGGTATTTGAGTATATCATCACAGTCTGCTTGAATTAAAAGACCATGCCTAATACACAATTTGATCGAATCGATGTGTTCCTTATCCACAAATGTTTCCGGATAAACACGTTCACAGACAGGACAATATGTTGCGAATAAACTTTAAACTTTCTTTTTGTTAAGTTGAACCGGCGTCGATATGGCCGAATTTATAAATTTGAAATACACTAAGGCAATTTTGTAATCTCGAACTTCCAGGTGGTCCTACTCGTTAAGCCCTGCTTTAAAACCTACCGCGTACTAGGCTACTGCGGCAGTCCAGCGGCTCTTACCATCATGTGTTTGTGCTTAAAACGGTATATGAATGCTAGATTTCGGCATACCACCGGCCAAGTTACATGGTTAATTTGTTCTCTAATTGAGCCAAAAATAATAAAAAATAGTTCAAAAAATCGGTAAACTAACCCTTGATCGCTCGTTGCAGTAACATCATACCAGTGACATCCCGAACCCATCCGATTTCCCGAAATCGCACTACATCAATAAATGGAACTCCCGGGGCAAGCTGGTTGGGAACGCGCGTATTTCCAATCACAGCGGCTACAAAACGTGAATGCCATTCCGGTCTTCCTCCTTCCTCCTTCGGGCAGGACAGTAGTGGAGCAAGACAAGTACGCGAAAATGAGTTAACGTGTTCTTCCGCGTCACTTGGCACTAGCAAAATAATGCGACTGGCTTGCGAAAAAAAGTAAGCATTAAGTCGATTTGGATCAGACCATACATCTGAAGGAACGCGACCGGATGTCTGGTACCCAAGAACTGCCAAGTTGCTATATTTACTCATCAGCTGAGTAGCCAAGTGTCTGGCGGCATCCTCGTATTTCCAAAAGGTCGTATCTGTGGCCACATCCCCCGCAAACAAATGCCTAGCATACACACATGGGGAAATAACAATAGCATGGTGATAGGCTCCACAAGCCATGGTGTTTAAAGGAATACCGGATTATTTCCAACACAATAAACGCATCCGGAACTTCACACCGAGCATTGCGCAGGTCTGGTCTCACACAAGCTTGATGTACAGCTCACGTAACCACAGTTAGCATGCTGCTTTGATTGTCGTTGTTACGTCCTTGCGAACGTTGTGTGCACAGCAGTGTGCCAGTTACTGTTCCTCTGGCTATAAAGGGTGTATTGTGGCACAGGCTCATCCACTGTTGTGTGCTCAGTGTCTGGCTTGAGAGGCTGAACACTGAGACAGCTTTGTGCTTGTGTACGAATGACTGAGTCACATGACAGTGGTAGGCCAATCAAGTTAATCCATAGCTCTCACGTGTAATGAAGATGTTTCTTTTAGATGTGTGTTGATGTTCGGGGAACTTTAGTTGGACTGAACGTTTGGAATGGAAGGATTAGGAATTTCTCCGACAGAGTGCTAATAGTTACTGTTGGTAAACTGTTGCCGCGAAAAGTAGTTGAGGAACAAAGTTACCCCCCTCTAGTGAATGACTTATTGTTTATGCTGTTTCTTGTGAATGGTTTCTGGTTTCTAGGATTTTCATCCACATCACTCGCATTTGAGCAGCCCTGCTTCAGCTGTGACACTGTCTGATAAAGCCACACCAGTAGGGGAAGCGGCGGACCCATGTTTTGCAATTACTAGAGCTCTTCAACAGTTCACATTTACGGATGTGTCGGAATCTGAACTTTTTACATGCTGTTTCACCGTACTTAGGAAAATTCAGTATCGTCAACTGCGATTCCACTCGATTCCATCATGACATTTCTCTTCAAAAACTCAGCATTACCTTCCGTTGCTAGTGGACTTTGTGTAAGAGATTCTCCGTCACATTCTTATTGGTGGAGAGTCAGCCCAAAAGGAGATGAGGTGGCTCAGTGGTTGGAGTGTGAATCCACTGACCAGAAGGTCAGCGGTTTGAACCCGACCTCTGCCTCTCGACTTTCCCCGTCTAGATTTGGGCAACTTGACAATATCCCAACCCTTGTGCTTCCTCCGAATGGCACGCCAGTTAGGCACCGAAAGGGTGTCCGAACTGAACGACTAGCTTTTTTACCTTTACCTCAATAGGGGTTTTCCGCATCCATCTCACGTGACTCAGTACGCCTCACGATGACTCTACTCTGGTTGTAGTGAAGTACTTGCATGAATGATAGCCTGGTGGAATTCTGTTTGTCCCTTCAAAGCCACTTTCATCGTGTGTTGAGTTGGTAACTGCGCCTGAGCAGTGACCTACACTCAGTCACAGATATAAGGAAAACGAGTGCCACCCACAGTTTTTTCCTCAAGCCAAAACTGAGAGTCTCGTGTTCATTTCGATCTTGAGTATACAACAACGTGCTTTATTTTATTCTTATTTTCACCCATGCATATCAATGATAGCTTTAAAACTACGCAGCTCATTATACTGTTCCTTCCTTAAAGACAAACATCCATCACTCATATATGTTCCTGTCCTATAAGCAGACCACATGTCAGGGCTTATAAGTGTAGTGAGAGAAACCATACTTTCAATTCAGATTGTGTCCTGTATCGGAAGCCAGTCTGTGCTGAAAAGCCGAGGAGCATTGTGCAGCCGTTTCACCCTCACAGAGAACTAGCGATATTTCGCATCTTACATAAATTCCAATAGGTTTGTAACCTGCCACCTCCTGACTTGTAGTTTGAGTAATTAGGGTTAATTCCCAGGTGCACTACCTAATCCGAGAGTCGGTGGATTCAAAGCTCCCCTGGGATTTCACGCACTGTTGATAATCTCTATTATAAAGGAAACAGCACTACGGCTCTTCTGGGACTTTAAGCATGATTCTTATTCCCTTGAAACACGAAACATCGGTTGAAAGTTTTCAAATTTCCTCACACTACCATCGAAAACGACATAGACGATGAGTATTTCTCGCTTGATAAAATGTGTAATCCAAACAGACGTGTGCCAATGTGTGCGATCAGAAACTGGAAATTGTGTACTGATTTTGGAAGTGCACAAGAAGAGTAAGATGGAAAATCTGTCAATCTGTGCAGATTTGCTCATGGAACAAGCAAAAGCAAATTTGGTGACGGGATCCCATGAAACACTTACGGTGTTTTGGGCCTAAACTCAATCAACTTGAATGTCTTCACCTTTATCATCAAATCTTCGGGGAGAGTGCACCTCGGGAAGTAAACTCCAGGAGTACAAACACCGGTGAGGAGGGTTGTAAGAGCCAATGGTCAGTAGCATAGCAATTCTTTAGTGAAAATGCTTCCTTCAGGTTGTTGGTGGGGCGTTTGATTCTTACGTAAGTTCTGTGGATTGGCTAGATGTGAAATTCAGCAAAATAATTTCATAACGTTACTCGCTCATCAGCATTGGTGACAGAAAATCCAAAATGACTTTACAGCCTGGCTAACTGGTAAGGAGATTAGGGAGTGAGTTTAGGTAGATATCAGACTAACTAAACTGCTATGGCTCGGTTGACCCAGCTGCCTTGAAGAATTAACTTCAAATTGACATGATCGAGGATTGATCGATGAACATTCCAACGATGTTCCCTATTCTTCCACTTGCCGTTCAGAGTGAACCGGCATAATCCGACCACAAACTATGGGGTCTGTAGTGAATTGGCGCCATAATAAACGAGATCTTATTTGGTAGATTACCATACAGTAATTATTTATCGAAAACCATTCTAAAATCATTGAAAGTACCAACATGTCTGTTCTCTGAGGGGATGGATTTGACATTTTGGTTTAAGGATACCTTACTGGGGAGATCTAAAGAGTCTCAGTCTGTCTTATGGCTAGAATGTTTCATAAGAACTTCATTGCACGGATTTTCCCGGACGTTTGCCTGTTTAATGCGTTCATTCTTTCAAGAATTCGGGAGAAATTTTTCGGGATAATTACGCACAAACAGAGAGTGTTGTTCCGAGTTTTCAGCAAGATATGTTCTCAATCTTCCGGAGCCGAATTAGGTGTCTGCCTGATGGAATACTATTAATCGTCGACTAATGGGAGCTCCGAATCCAGAACAAGTAACACCGACTCAAACTAACCAAAACCGCTTACATAAGGGATGTAGGTCAATTTCCTGGCATGGTCTACTTGATGCCGAAGAATTGTTCACGCTCTGCGGGCATGAGGCTGAGTTCTTCACCTGGGGCAATGGTGATCAACCTGTGCATTTCTGACGTTTGTGAGCAAAGAACCTCTAGCAATTTTTGCACTGATACAGAGCTGATGCTTCATAGGCACCAAGCTCTTGAACTCTGCAGCGACCGCCGTATACCAGCCGTCTGAGACCATACTGCTGTTTATCACATAAATCGGAATTCCGTAGTAAGGCTATCAGGAGCAGGGTGTTGGTCATCATGTTGCCTGTACACTTGCAAAGACTTCACTGTGAACGTGCAACGCTCAGGTACATCTGTGAAAAACACCAAAATGATAACACTTTATTACGCCAGGGTTTCATAGTAATGTGCGATTGCTGTCTGTCTAGCAAATGTGGATCGTTTCTTCGTGAAAGCGGATAACAGTACTTATCTCTGCTTGAGCTTTATGTAAGCAAACGGAAACTATCGCGTTATGCAGTTATAGAATGTCCACTGGAATTTCAAACTACTGGCTCTCGCTGATCGCTTCATGTAACTGTATCGTTTAATGCGTGTGTCAGTTTTTAGACAGCTGTTTTTCAGTCACTCTCATTGTGGAATAATTCTTCGAAGAACAGCAATTGCTTACACGGTCCTCAGCCTTCGACTTCCTTCATGGTTATGTAACAAGGTAATCCCGCCTCCATAACATTCTGTCCGTTGCTTTCCTGTCCCCATTAAGCAATGCTTCTTTTAGAATACTCTTTCATGCTCTCGTGTGTCCGCTAAAATCTTTCAGATGTCAGTGTCTTTGCACAGTACAAGCAACCATCATTCGCACACGCGAGCTGGGTCCACACACAAATTCAGCTGAGAAGCCTTCACTCGAGATGCATCTCATCTTGCAGTCAGTTGTAATGCAGATCATCTGTCCATGTTCTAACTGCTAATCAGGAGGCTGCTAGTTGAAAACGCTCTGGAAGTTATTTGGATGCTCACAGCTGATGAATTACACCAAGGATGAAACACATTAATGGTGCTGGTAGGCTTCGACATAGCGTGCGGAATGAGACTTCCATTGAAAAAAAACAACACTCACAGAACATTTCTAAATGCACAGAGACCGAAGTGTGTTCAGTGGCCATAGAACAAGGTGGTTTAAAATGTAGCAGGTAACGGTGTTTTTACTGATTACCCCAAAGAAATATTCATTCCGATGTAACAAGTTTTTCGACTTGTTTGATTCTTAGTAGTATAATGAGGAACATAGGTAATGAGCACTAATCTCACTGGGACCGGAAGAAATCCCAGTGTTTGTTGGCGTTGTACCTACCATACAGTATATATATATATATATATATATACAATTGGAGGTAAAATTGCCTTCCGATATTTGTTTTACCGCATGGTACAGCTTACTCAACCAAAAACAGACAATCGGCTATGTTGATTCCCCGAATTATTCCACGTCAACACCATGCCACCTCATTTTACCACAAATGACCATCGATTGGTGCAGCTTAGGTATCATTTTAAGTCCCAGATTTCAACTTAGACCTCTATTGTTTACTCTGAAAACGATCGTGTAACGGACAGAAAGCCAATAGGAACATGCGGAAGGACACTGCTGGCAAAACAGATGGGACTGGCCATGGGAATAATCATCTACGCAGGTGGGAGCTTGGCAAACGTTGAGTGCAATACCTGAGCGTTACTCACCGCATCACCAGACGCGGATTGCTTCGTCGATTAGTACCACTCTGTGAGAGGATAAAATTGATTGTGCGGTTGACTCTCGCTTCGCACGCTTAGCGTAATCCACTCACCATCCACTTTATCATGACAGACGGGCAAATAAAAACATCTTGTGCTTACTGGTACCAGTGTAAGGCGAGAGCGGCTTGGAAAGTTATACACGAAGCCATGTTTGTGTTCGAAATGCCCAAAGTGGTGCACATCCGAAACCCAGCTTTGGGCTTGCTGTTCCGCTCCGTCCAAGTGGCCATTCTGACCTATTTTTTGTTTTTTGTCATGTGGTGGAACAAGGGCTATCAGTCAAAAGATAAATCCATCGGTGGAGTCACTGCTAAGGTTAGCGGAATATCTTGGTTTGAGATACCGCATGATTTGAATAGACCAACGTTCCTGATTTTGGATAAAGGATCATACAATCTCCGCTCATTGCAGAATTCTGGACTCTATTTGGTCACCCGTGTGCACGGGATAGAAATTCAAACACTGGGATTTTGTGCTGAAGTGGATACTTTAGTTGATGCTCGCTGTCTTCGAGATGAACACTGTCCAGTCGGTAGCTCCGCTGGACTGTCTGTTGTAGACTTTCGTGGCTACATGTTAACCAACGACGAGATAAATTTATACGAAGACGGACATGGCGTATTTACCGGTCGTTGTTTGAATGAAACGAAGACATGTGAGATCTACGGATGGTGCAGACTTTATGGTCATGATGTTGGCAAGTCCATAAAACAACCAAATGATCGATTGTTACCTCCTCCGAATGTTTTGGAGGAACCGTTTTCTCACTTTGTCGATTTAAACTTTTTGTATGAACGCAAAAAGTTTACTGTTAACGAGACACACACACCCCGTTACCTCAAAGAGATTCTAAACTTTACCATCCTTATAAAGAATGCAATTGAATTTCCGTATTTCGGAGTGAAAAGGCGCAATATTTTACCGTGGATGACGGAGGTCTACCTGCAACAGTGCCGGTACAATCCGGAACATGCGCAAGACAAATACTGTCCAGTATTTCTCGTCAGGGATATGCTTCACCTGGCTGGTGTAGACTGGAGAAATTTGCTCACTTTCGGAGGTGTAATGGCCATCACCGTGGACTGGCAATGTGATCTTGACTGGTCTGTAGATTATTGCCTACCAGATTATACATTCCGACAACTTGAGGTTGAATACGAGATAGACAAACAAGCTGGCCCAAAAGATGTCACACTGAGCGAGGGATCTTCACAACAGATCATTGTTAAAATGGAAACTGATGCACAGTTGAATCGATACCGCACAGTGATGCAGGCCAGTGGCATTACCTTTCTTATTCGTGTTACTGGTGAGGCGGGTAAATTTAATCTGCTAGAATTCACGATGCGTTTCGGATCTGGAATGGCTCTGTTAGGTGGTGCGACAATAATCTGTGATCTTATTGTGTTTCATTTTCTACGTGACCGTCATCGTTATAAGCAGGCAACCTGTGATGACAAGACGCTGCGAAGACTACTAAAAATGGCAGCAGAAGCCCAGATGCCACGATCCAGGCGAACTAAACTTCGAGAAAGCTTTATGGCACCACGCAGAACAACACCAGTAGATAGACCAGACGTTGCTACGCCCAGTATTTACTTGAGTCAGCCTCCTACGGTCACTGTCGACAGCTCCATCAGTCTTTCCTCTCGAGCGCAGTATCAAATCTTGAATGGTATACCAGGGAGTGAATCATCAATGGAATCGAGTCTCCAGCAGGTTTGTTCATCGGCTGAAATTAAGCTGGGATATCTCCACCCAAATTCACAGACTGTAAGAACACCTTCTTCCGTTACCTCGATATATTTTGCTCCTCCACAACGGGATCGTATTGTAGAATCACCCTTCTTTGCCCAAAATGAAACAAAATGAGAGAAAGTTAATATTTTCCATTTTAATGCCGTTTTTTAGAAGAAATGAATTTATTCATCACGGAGTTAAGTTGTCTTGTAGTAAAAATGTTATCAGGTGAGATAGGTCGTGCTATTTGACGATACGTTTTTGTACTAGAGATACGATATTTTACACATGTGTCGATATAGCGTTAAAGACCGGGAATAAACAGAAGCAGGAAGGAGTACAGTGGTAAGTGTAGAACGAAGACAAACTCAGTCTTACATTGCTCGGGCAGGTTGTGAGAGTAGATGAGCAAGCAGAATACCAGTCAAAAGTGGTTCAAAAACTGAAATCTGATTTACGCGGCCGGATTCCAAGGGTTTATGTGATTGATAACACTCTGAATGGTATTTACTGCGGCTGGCTGAGAGATTCCAACATACAATGTAAGATACGCGTTATTCTTTTGCGGCATGGGTATTTTTTCTAGATGTGATGCGACTGTACTCGGTGCATGCTTTTACAACAACTGCTAAGGTTAATCAGACTGCTTCTGCTCGTCCTCACTGAGAAACGCACAACCGATGCATGCTGTTCGGTCCGAAGATGTAAACTAGCTCTCAAAGGATCTGGCCCCAGAGATTGTGGGTTTTGCTTGAAACTAATCTGGAAATAACCAACTCTGTTAAGCGTTTTCGGCTTCCTCTTGGGTTTGGTGCGGAGCAGTAAGCAAACAATGGCTCAAAAAAGAGGGTTCAGACGTTTTCCAGCGATGCAACTGCGAGGACACATCAAAGTACGTCCTAGCCAAGGGTAAACTGACTTATTAGTTTTTTATCTACAGCAGTAGAAAAGAGGTTATGTGGTTGCAAACGATTTGATATTCGAAACAATGGTTAGCCCCTTGGATATTTATCGTAATTCCATAAGAGCTTATGTAAAACCGCCTAATTTGTAGATCAACGGTGGAAAAGGAGGTAAGCACACTCATGTTTTTTCTACCCACACTTTTGTGTGACTTTGGACGTCATGTTTGCTGGAAACCAGTGATTCGTCAGCTAAGTCCACTGTTAGGTAAAGTGCGAACTATGCGTCATCCAACTTTGTTAAGAAAGAGGCAATCATCACCAAGAAAAAAGTGGAAAAAGACATCAAAATCTAAATTCAAACTGAAGTTTTGACGTTAAGTTGGTTTTAACGGGAGACTCAAATAAGCCCCAGTTGAACGTCGCGTTCCGTCAGATAAGTCGGTAGTGTTCCATGGGTGTCTGCATCGACGGTGTCTGCCGCAGCTTCCAGGGTGCTGGTCTATCACAATTCACTTTCCATAATATTAGATTTATTTCAAATATCTTTGGGTTCATCTGGCTAGGCCTCTCAGGAATATGCCTACACGATAGATCTTATGGTAGACGAATCCGATAGTGAACAGTTTCAGAGATCGACCAGATTGCCATTATACAGGAAAAGTATTAAAAGTGGACTCCTCATAGAAGAAAGTTTTAGACTTGTGTTCTCCTTTTGAACTATTGTTCTGATACAGTCTACTTTCGACTCATCTTTTTAAACAATCACACGTACTTTCCTGCTAGTGGGACATATGTTAAAACGCTCATAATTTTGCACTTCCTGCGCCAACTATCAAGACTCCTACGCTGATCCAGGTCAGCAGTGCCGTTATCCGGAGGGTGCAGAGTTGGTTTATGGTTTAGCATATCATGCCCCTCTTTAACAGTGGTCAACTGATGTGTAGCCACCACACTTTTTTCTGGTTTGCCACTCCGAAAATTCGACGTTTCCACTCACTATTTGGTGGGTTTCATTTCACTTTCCGTTTCTCCCCTCCAATAGTTCATGCACCCTTAGCATGCAAGTCACACTGTTTGTACTATAGTGATGTTTTTGGAGAGCGTACACCAGCTAAACTCGAGCTGATCTTGAAGGCATGCTCTCATGGTGGATGCAGTGTTGTTGTCTTGCAGTTATAAATGTTCTCCCATATTGCTTGCCTTGGTATGAATAGAAGAGCAAACACATGTGGTTAGGTTTATGTACTTTAAATTGAATGTGGTTATGATTGCAGCTGAGCAAATAAACGGTTCCCTCTTTGATGGTAGTGTGGGGAGAATTGTTAATTTCTAAATGGGATTTCATCCTGTCAAAGGCCAATCTACGCTGCAAGACCGAGAAGCACTGTACAGCTGTTCGGTTATTGGTCTGTTCACCGAGCTTGGTGAGCAGATTCTGGTGTTAGACGAGCGAATGATTGCTATTTTATCTACCGCTGTGAATAAAATCCGACACAAAACGCTACGTTTGCGAGGTATTCGGCGTATCTCAAAAACAAAGGATCATTCAGTTAGAATGTAAAGAGTGGACAATGCTGCTGGTTCATTGAATGCAACTTGTGTTAGCAAGCACACCTCTAGGAACAATTAAGCGATAAGTTTCTGACGTCACAGTATTTTTCAGACACTGGGCAAATAACGGGTAGATTATTGTGGAGAAGCAAAATATATAACCATGGTGGATTTTTACCAACAACCAACCTTGAAAGTACCATTTGACTCAGAGAATAAATAAATTTTTTGATCAACTGTTTATGTTGGTAGTCAGTTTGGGCGGAATACAATTAAAATACACATGCAAAAACGCAACGATAATTATGGGATCGCAGTCAACCGTTTTCTGTTCCTCAGCGGGCTCTGGTCCACTGCAACTGCGGTTTGCCTGTGATCGTAAAACTGGCGCCTTTCTTCTTGACCACTCTGTACCTCACACTTTCGCATAATGTTGATGAAAAACTGTAATGTACGAATAAAGGTAGTTAATAATCCTCATTTAGAAAACGATGCCAAATTCAGTGTATAAATCACTCGGAAACGAGTGATCCAATGAAAACGAGTCAGTACATCTTCTCCTGCAATAAGTGTTCGCTGAAAATGCCTCGACACCCTACCACCGGTTTTTTCTTATCAGGACTCTTCATACGGACATAGCCATTGAGTCCGTCGAATTTACGTTTTCCTCCAACTCAAGTTGTAGGAAATTAGTGGAATACTCTCCCTTGCATGGCAATTTGGCTTGATACGGGGTTAGATAATGTGCAGCCAACATCCTCATTCAAAGTACTCTTCAGCTGAATGTGCTGCGAAGTCTCAGATATCGCAGTATTTTCTCTTGGCGGAAGATACTACTCTTGATGTTGCTGAAGACTCTTTGACATCCTACCATATGTTCAAGTGGAGAATAGGGTTGACGGAATCTTGAAACCTACGCCCTCAAGATAGGTCCTAACATGTGAAAAAAATGGTCATGTGCTGTCGAAGAGTTTTCAGCAACTTTATGAGTAGTATGTTGGTTCGTAACAACATTCTTGGCAATATTCCAGTAGCAAGGTGGCACCATAAAATAGCTATTCAGCTATATTTGGTTGCGTGCCCCTTCAAAACGAGTATGTTTTACGAAGTAGGATGTATGTATTCGGATGCAGGTTAAGCAACTTTAGAGTAGTATGTTGGTTCGTAACAACATTCTTGGCAATATTCCAGTAGCAAGGTGGCACCATAAAATAGCTATTCAGCTATATTTGGTTGCGTGCCCCTTCAAAACGAGTATGTTTTACGAAGTAGGATGTATGTATTCGGATGCAGGTTAGCAACGAATGTAGAAGTTTTGACGTCAATAAGCTATGCATTCAATGTTTCTGTCAAACGGGCTGCTTGGGCGATGCGTTCCACCTGGTAGCAAGAAGATTTACTGTGATCCGTCGTGTACAGTATCTCACAACATAGATCATACCATCAAGGAGGCTGATTTGATTATATTTAGTTGCACTCGCTGCCAACTGCTCAATCTAAGTTGTAATTTTCATGAATCGAGCATGTATGCGTTTAGAGTGGCATGCTTTTAATACATTTTGTAATCCTTCCACTGACAGGACAGGGTTGATCTGATATAAACGCCATGAGGGATAATTTTTGCAGATAGGCATTTACTTTATGTTGATAGTAGTGGGAGTAAATATGAACAAAATCAAGCAAAGTGGAACAACTTGTTGGCATGGGTGCATTTTTAGGTTTATTTGTCAGAAAAAAGCCACAACGCATTGCACAATGCGAGTGAAATTCTGATAGAAATAATATCTCTGGTTAACTTTTTCACTTGATGCCTATTGCTCTTCACGGGAGTGCAACAAAACGAATTACGTGACCTCTCAATTCGAATTTGAAAATAGGGGTCAATTATCAATACGGATGAGAGGCTATCTTACTCGGTTGGACAACTTATCGGCACTTCATTTTAAGCTCACGGGTTGTCGATTTTCGTTCGACAGCTTTTAAAAAATGGTTGCTTCAAGGACCCGTCCAGTTTTAAGCGGCAAAGAGAAACTGTGGAACTGACAGTACCTGGCATAGTCCACTTATAGTGAGGCTATTGCTTATTTATTGTACGATAATTTTGGATGACCGGCTGCAGCCTTCCACCGAACTGTTTAGCCATTGGTTACAACAGCTATTTGGTTACACGACGGCTAGGTAGGAGCTACCGGACAAACTCGGAAACTACGTGTTGTGTTCATTTGGCAGCCGACCAATAGCTTGCCGTACAGTCGGGATAAATAATGACAATGCTTTATCGGAACAATGCAGTGTACGAAAATTGATCCCGCTTTGTGCTGTTGTAAATCACAATCCATTGGTAATGGCTTGTTAGTACATTCGCTGTCAGTGTGTTCTTTTTGATTGGGTTTCGATCACGTACGGCGGTAGTCTTGATTTGCTATTCAGCCAATAATGGTCTATTCCTCTTGCTAAAATACAACATGTTTGCCTTCTAACTCTCACCTGTATTTTGCCCACGGCCTCCAAAAAAATGAAGAATACAGACAATGTTTTTTCGAAATCTACGTAATCTGGTGTAACTGAAAAATCATCTGTCGAAATGGGGCTTGTGCGCTATCAGGTTGGAACAAGGAGAAAAGAATTAATTTGCAGTCATACAAAATAACAGTGTATGAACCTCTTCAGCGACGA